TATATATATATGCATTTCTTTACATATGTTGGACGTAATTAATACATACATGACGGTTTGTCAAAATGTCTTTTTCTGGTTTGGTTGATAAATCGTAATTCCTTGCGTGCCGCTTCTTGTTTGGTCTTGAAAAAACTATGACTTATGAAAATAATCTGAAGTTATCTTTCATGTTTGAAGCCGTGGCTAAAACCTGCAGTAAATGCTACGAGTAGCGCGCGTCTATATAAAGTGGGCGCCGCTGCTAGCTATTAGTGGTGGTGGAACTGGAAAATTGTTTCATCTGCTGCAGGGCTCGTCGTTGCCTTTGCTGTCACTCTTGCTTTTGTCAAGCAGACAGGATAAACTTCAAGTTCTCTCTGGTGGCGACTTTTTGATCCGCTGGTCTCCCCTTCGCAGCACCATGCTCCAAGTGGCGCCAGCTTCCCCATGAGTTGGCGCCGAACCAGCGGCTCTCGGATTTGTTCTTGCCTTGGCGAACGAAGAGGCGAACGGAGAATGCCCATATTTCTGGGGGTGAAACGCTACTTGGCTGAGGATCCCACTACATGGATCTACATGGGTGATATGTTCTAAGCCAGTGAGATGTGCAATATCCCAATATATTCAATGGGTTGTTTCAAAAAAATATATATATATATACCTGGATCTTCGAACGTCTAATATATTTTGACCCTTTTGGTTGTTTACCAATTATCGTCGGAGCCGCCTAGTTTTTTTGGGATCGTCATCAAAAACTGAAATGCCCAAAAACCATGGAAATTGGATAATTTTTGAATGTTTCATCATATTTTCCTCCCATCTCCCGCGCATGTAAGTATCACTGTTTGAGGCTGCCAGAGTAGTTCATTGGAGTTGGGTATGCAGGTCTGACTCCGCAACCCCGCCTACTTTTTCTGTTCAAAGCACTTTTGCACAGAATCTGCAAAAAGTAAAAAAGCGCGACCAAAACGCCCCGCAAACATCCCACAAAAATCTGCAAAACACCCGCAAAAACACGCAAACGCCCGCAAATCCAGAAAACAGGGTTTTTGGTTTGTGTTTACACATAGTAGTTTTTTGCAAGGCATCGAGATTAAAAGTAGTCAGTATAGGAGTCAGAAATCACACCCACGTAAACAAGCAGGAGTGACCTGGATTTAAGGTAGAAGCAATGAAAGGCCAGACGCATCGCCTATTTTCTTCGCATGTCGCCTAGTTTTCATCAAGTTCGTATGTGTTTTTTGTGAAACGCCTGGTTTTCGAAGAACCGGCCAAACAAAATAGTACCGACACAAACGACCAAAATATTTTGGCAGTATAAATTTCAAGGTATATATAATTGTATGAATGATTATATATGTAGTCTTGGTGATGTTCAATGCAACAAATGAGGTACAAATTCAAACCGTGGGTCAAGGTGAAAAGCGTGTCCAAACACTCTCCATCCAGTCGGTCTCCCGCGGATTCCCATCATGTATTTCTTGATTGCATCCCAAAACATCTCCGTTAATTCACCATCATATTTTCATGGTGTAATTGTGATTTAATGAGATTTTTTGGTGATTCAACAGGATTTCATGGTGATTCAATGGGATTTAGTGGTGATTGAACCATTCGATCCCCACTCCTGTTGCTTCAGTGCCCATGAACTTCCCACATTTACCCAGCCCACCGCGCTGCCTGCCACAGCTTTCCGCATGGTCCTCCAGCCAGCGCCCTTGTCGTCGCTCCAGTTCTGAAGTCCCTCCAGTGACACCACCGCAGTGCCTCCTGTGGGATGGGTAACAAGTGTATCTATCTATCTATCTATCTATCTATGTATCTATCTATCTATCTATCTATGTATCTATCTATCTGTCCATCCATCCATCCATCCATCCATCCATCCATCTATCTAGTTCTCTAGTTCTCTAGTTCTCTAGCTATCTAGCTATCTAGCTATCTAGCTATCTGTCTATCTATACATCTATCGATCGATCGATCGATCTATCTATCTATCTATGTATCTATGTATCGATCTTTCTATCTATCTATCTACCTATCTATCTATCTATCTATCCATCCATCCATCCATCCATCCATCCATCCATCCATCTAGTTCTCTAGTTCTCTAGTTCTCTTGCTCTCTAGCTATCTAGCTATCTAGCTATCTAGCTATCTAGCTATCTAGCTATCTATCTATCTATCCATCTATCCATCTATCTATCGATCTATCTATCTGTCCATCCATCCATCCATCCATCCATCCATCCATCTAGTTCTCTAGTTCTCTACCTCTCTACCTCTCTAGCTATCTAGCTATCTAGCTATCCAGCTATCCAGCTATCTAGCTATCTAGCTATCTAGCTATCTAGCTATCTAGCTATCTAGCTATCTGTCTATCTATCTATACATCTATCGATCGATCTATCTATCTATCTATGTATCTATGTATCGATCTTTCTATCTATCTATCTACCTATCTATCTATCTATCTATCTTATCTACCTTATCTATCTTATCTTATCTTACCTTATCTATCTATCAATCTAGCTACCTAGCTATCTTATCTATCTTATCTATCTTATCTATCTTATCTATCTTATCTATCTTATCTATCTTATCTACCTTATCTATCTTATCTATCTTGTCTACCTTATCTATCTTATCTATCTTGTCTATCTTATCTATCTTATCTTTATATAATCTATCTAATCTATCTTATCTATCTTATCTATCTATCTATCTATCTATCCATCTATCTATGTATCTATCTATGTATCTATCTATGTATCTATCTATGTATTTATCTATGTATCTATCTATCTATATGTCTATCTATCTATCTATCTTTCTTACTTATCTATCCATCTATTTTATCTATCTTATCTAGCTTATCTATCGTATCTACCTTATCTATCTTATCTACCTTATCTATCTTATCGTTCTTATCTATCTTATCGTTCTTATCTATCTTATCTATCTAATCTATCTAATCTATCTAATCTATCTAATCTATCTAATCTATCTAATCTATCTAATCTATCTATCTATCTATCTATCTGTCTGTCTGTCTGTCTGTCTGTCTGTCTGCCTGTCCATCTGTCTGTCTGTCTGTCTGTCTATCCCGTCCGTCCGTCCGTCCGTCACGGAAACTGGGGTAACAAACTCGTGAAACTTGACCACCAATGCCACGGCTGGTGGATCAGTGGAACTGAAAATCGATCGCTAGGCTTTCCATAGCGGGGCAAGAGAGTTGCAAAAGATCCACAGACACACTTCAGCCAGTGCGTCCAGGCCATCTTTGGTCTACAGACTACAGAACAAAATGCGTCACCAAACGAAGGAGAACCACATGTCGCTCACTGACCCTAAAAGGCTGAAGACACCGGCGAATTGGAACGCCCAAACCAGCTTGAACTCCAAGTGCAAACAGGAGCAGAAAGAGAAGGGACGTCAGGGCCAACCCGCTCACCCACCAAAGCGTCTCAGCACTGCACGGGCATTCTCGCGCTGAAGGGCAATTGCCAAAGACTGGAGGAGCCGATCGGTCTCAATGGCAACGCTTTCATTTGACCGGGCCGCTGTTGCTGCAGCCAGCTCCTTCCAAGTCTTGGTGGCAGTGGGCCCAGAGCAGGCTTCCGCAACCAGAGGCAAAAATTGGAAACCCTGTGCACGTGGACAAGGTGTGGAGGTGTTGGTTCTTCCGGTCCTCATAGTCAACGGCAGCACGGCTACCATCGGCTGTGGCTGCTGCAGCTTGCCCTTGCCGAAGGCCACAGGTCACGGCCGGGTCAAAAGCTGCAGGGTCGTGCAACCCCCAGGAAGGCACCCAGACATCGGCGCATGCTCTTCGGGGCGAGGTGGGAGAAGCCCACTTTTTTCAATTTCAGGGCTCTGGCCAGCCGCCTGCGCCCGAGCCGCAAGCAGAGAACGGAGGCGGTGGTCCCGTTTCGTGCGGTCACCGCCACATGGTCACCGAACCGGTCCGCAATGCCGTCACGCAAGGGGCATGCGATGTCTTTGTCAGACAAAGCCAGCCGCAGGCGCATGCGAACCAGGACCTTGAAAAGCGGGCTGGCGAGATGCAAGCCAAGGGCTTCACATGGAGGCGCATGCAGCCAGGCCCCCGCCCCCAGGGGCCTGCGAGAGCTGAAGGTGAGCCCGATAGCTTTCAGCACCTGCGCTGGCAACATCAACTGCGTGACAACTGCTCTGTCCACCGCCTGAGACAGCTGCTGCTGCCGAAGGTTGGGAGGCGGAGGGACAGGGAAGGAGTCAGCAGCGGACACCACCGCATTAACAGCCCGAAGAGCGTCATCCAATGGAGGAATGGAGTTCGCATCTAAAGCCAAGCACAAATCAGCCGTGGCGGCCACCAAGGCAGCGTAAGCAGCTGCCCCATGCAGAGCTGCATGCCGCAGACCAAGGCCGCCACTAGCGGTTGCCAAGCCTGCTTGTAGCCAAGCACGGTGGGTCAAGGGCCCAGTGCAAGTGGTCTCCAGGCACTTGCGCACGGCTGCATCAAAGGCAGACAGCGCCTTGGTTTTTTGGTACCCTAGTGCCCTACCTGCCTATCTCTAGACAAATCCTTCAGGGATGCAAACTAGTGTACATGCTCAACGAATCCAGCCAGCCTCTATCAGCTATCAGGTGTCCAACATCTTGTTTGTTGTGATCCAATTAATGGACATACACACACTTCCAAAAAATGCCAAACATATGATATCATATGATCACCCCACTTCTGACCCGTTTTGTAGGTACCGAACATCCACCAGCAACTGGAATTCTCCTGCCAGTTCCTCTTGTCGCAATCCAGGTTTGCTTGAATCCGGATGCCGCATTTCCTTGGTTTCTCGCATGGTTTTGTACTGCTTTGATGTTCCAAACCAGCTGGATGAAGGAATGATGGACTGATACACATCCCATGAATGCTTCAGGTACTAGCATTCTGGTAATGCATACGCGGACGCCGACACATGGATCCAAACAAGTAAGTAAAGAATAACATGAACAAGCGAAGTGAAGTGAACATGTAGCAAGTGCAGGTTCTTCTGGGGCCCCTCCTGACAGTGGAAGTCAACGCAAGGGTATGGTTTTTTTCTTTGTGCCGATGCCCAACCGAAATCTCAACGACGGCAAAGAGGCGTTCCTCTCTGAATTATGTTTACTGACATCGTGTTATTTTTTGAGAATACATGTTTCAACATTCCATGCCGAATTGCCTTCTAGAAAACAAACCCAGCACGCGTACGCTTAGAAGTTTTAAATTTAAAGTAAAATATGGATTTTCGATATCTGTGGTTCTTTATGGTTTTGATTGTTTTTGGACCCAATCTTCAGGTACTATCATCGTGGAACCCGCGGCCGCTATCCAATGGTTTCCGCCGAGGCTCTGATGGTTCTCCCTGAAACCATTTGCGCAGGTCCTTGGTGTTTTGCTTCGAGCCAAGGTCCATGAGGAATCACCTAGCTATGTATAGAAGAGAGATGCATGAATGTATACTATACATTTGAACATATCTTCATGTTGAATCATGATCCACAGGCACCCATGGCAGCTTAAACCACGAACAGCAGTCTTTTTTAAGCTATGATGGTGCTCCGGGGTCAAACACTGTATGAAAGTACGATGTTCATGTCCATCTTTTCTCCAGGGTACTGCAATACAAAAATCAAGTTAGACCTGCTGGGCATTTTGGCAAGTTAAAGGTTTGCTGCCATCAGCCACCATCAAGACACTTGGGAAAAGAAGTCACAACAAGGGGTCTTAAAAGTCTTGGAACATGAACATGTTCATTGCATTTACTCCATCGCTTTTTCAAATTGGCGTTTCTCAAAACTGGGGCACAAAGCCATGAATTCCCGTCATCACCAATCACAATCACTTGGCTGTTGGGATCTGGGTCACACATGACCTCCGGAATTCCTCAACACATGCTTCATCTGTGGCACGGTGTAGGCACTCAACTGCAACCTCGACTGGGCATCACAAATGGCTCCTGGCACATTGGACAACAAATTGGAATATCAACCAATGAAACCGTGGTGGAATGAGTGTTTGGCTAAATTAGAGTCCAAATCAATGAAAAACTGACGGAATATAAACAACTTGTTTGTGCCTTGTTGAAGGGGTAGGTTGTACCTGCGCCTTTGTTTAGATTCATAGCTGCATCTGGCAGATTCTTTGGCGTATACCGTATACCCTATCCTTGTTGATGCTTAAGATCGAGGAAAGTACGGCATAGTCTTTGCATTTTCCTGTTTATGAAACAACCTAACAAGTCTTGGACAATTGGCATTTCACGCTATATCTACGGAAGTCATGCATATTCAAATTCCTTATCATAATCAAACGGAAAATCGATGCATTGAAATCAAATCAACCGCATGTCCAACACATGCTTCTGAAAAGTTCACAAATCCTATGTATGCAATATATTGCAATATTGTCAATGATCTAAGTTAAACAAGACAAACAAAAAAACAAATACGCGATACTGGATAATTAGTAATGAACCCATAACTTCAAAATACTTCAAATATGTTCAAATACATTCCCATTCGCACTTTCCTTCGTTGCCTATAGTAACACTGGCCACTCATGATCGGCATTTCAGGCTCCCTTCCCAAACCTTTGAGACTATCATATTTTCCGACCAAGTTGTTGGTCTATTGCCGATAACGTATGCCTTATCTTGGAACTACTTTGGTCTATTCACAGCTGCCCAGAAAGAAAAAGATGTAATGTGGGTAAAACTGATAAGAAATCACCCATTTGGAAATAGTTTATAACATCTATTTATGGTGATTTCAGGGATTGTTTATTATTGTTTTACAAAATTTACAGTACCAACCCTCAATCCGCTGTGCTCCTGCTACTGTCATTCGTTCCTCTTGCGGATCCGGCGGCCACTCGTAGCGCCCTGCACCGTGCTTAGAGCAGGCGCCGTTGATGGCGTCTTTAAGGACCCACAAACCCACAACGAATGATGGGACCCCCTTGCCACAGTCCCACAACCTTCCCTGATTGCAGCACATGGTCGCGGACTTCACAATGGCCACATGCTGATGCCGGAAATTCTTCTGTTAACAACCATCATCGGTTCAACCTTGTTCACCCAAAAAGCTTGCCAGTGCAAAACATGTAAATCTATCCATCTATCCATCTATCTATCTATCTATCTACCTACATGTGTATACACAAACACACACATATAAAAGTAAATGTCTACATATATTCATATATATATATATGTATACATAAACATATACATACATACACACACATATAATATATATATATACACCTATCCGTACACATATATACAGCAAAATATTGTGTATATATATATATTATGTAAATTTGACTTACAAACAATCATAGTGCCAGGACTGCCTTTTGCCGCTTTGGCCGGAGCTTTCTCCGCATCCTCTGGTTGGCTGCCTGATGGTCTGAGAAATGTCACTGTCACACGTCGATAAAGGGACAACGTATAGCCTAGCTGCCTAGCTGGCTGAGCCGCTGGCCTAGCCCATGAGCATTCAGGTTGCGCCAGGTGGAAACAAAGTCACTGGAGGAATTCAGGTTTCGCCACATACTCTGAGGGCTTTCTATATTCTGTATATCTCTATACTAAACTTAAAAAAACATAGCACTGAAGCATGGACTTGGTCTCGCAAAAAGAAAGCACACAATAAATTCTAACAATATAAATGTGATGATGTCGGCAACGGTCATTGCATGATTGATTAGGTGCCAGTGCCAGCACAAATATCCATAAATATGGACAGCATCTTACCGACAGTCCACATCATTCACATCCACCTGAAAAAAGGCGTCAATGGTAAAAGTCAACGCTGTCTCCTTTTTTCAGGCCCAGCCCTGGCCAAGCGCGCAGAATTGGCCTTTGGCCACTTTCGCCGGAGAAACTGCCGCACCTTTGTCGGGGCCTCGGATGATATTGCGCGTGCACACTTGGATGAAAGGACAAAGTCTAGGGCAGGAAGGAAACCAATATTAATCCAAGTCATGCCATCATCCAAGTTATACCAATACCAATATTCTTCGTCCTTCCATCTCTCAGGATGGGACTTAACACCCGAGCACGGGGCATTAAGCCATTGGTTGGGACATGGGTCCCCATGGTTAGAAAACAGCAAGAAGCTGCACATGATAATCAACGACCATGACGGTCGCAACATGTAAGTAGGACTCGTACGATACTGTTCCCATGCAATTCCACGTAGTTTATGTCATGAACGAAATGTCAGCAAAACATTTCCATCTGGTGAGACACATCAAGCAAGAGAAAACATTATAGTGGGGAGACGTAGCAACGCACTTTAATATTCAAATAATCCAATTAAACTTGACAAACTTGGATAATCAAGTTTACTGGGGAGTCAAGCTATGCCATCCAAGTGGTGGGCTGGCAATGGTTGGTATAGCCATGTGCACTTACACAATTTTGTCATGTCTTCAGGGTATCAAGAAACAAGCAAAATCTGGACCTGGTCACTGGGGGGAAAAAGCGGCAAGTGAAGCAATGTTGTGCCGCGATGAAAGGAACAATTGTCGCCAAACATGACACACTCATTCACTGTAGATATAGCAATTGTCAGGGTCATTGTCGCGATGATGGTGATGATGAGGATGGATGATGATGATGATGAGGAGGATGATGATGATGAGGATGGATGATGATGATGATGAGGATGATGATGATGATGAGGAGGATGGTTGATGATGATGATGATGAGGAGGATGATGATGATGAGGATGATGATGATGAGGAGGATGATGATGATGAGAGATGATGATGATGATGATGATGATGATGATGAGGATGATGATGATGATGATGATGAGGAGGATGATGATGATGATGATGAGGAGGATGATGATGATGAGGATGATGATGATGAGGAGGAGGATGATGATGAGGAGGATGATGATGATGAGGATGATGATGATGAGGAGGAGGTTGTTGATGATGATGATGAGGAGGATGATGATGATGATGAGGATGGTGATGATGAGGATGATGATGATGATGAGGATGATGATGATGAGGATGATGATGATGATGATGAGGAGGAGGAGAAGGATGATGATGATGATGATGATGAGGATGGTGATGATGATTATTATGATGATGAGGAGGATGATGATGATGATGAGGATGGTGATGATGATGATGAGGATGATGATGATGATGAGGATGATGATGATGAGGATGATGATGATGATGAGGAGGAGGAGAAGGATGATGATGATGTTGTTGATAAGGAGGAGGAGAATGATGATGATGATGATGATGAGGATGGTGATGATGATTATTATGATGATGATGAGGATGATGATGATGATGAGGAGGAGGATGATGAGGAGGAGGATGATGATGATGAGGATGATGATGATGATGATGAGGAGGAGGATGATGATGATGGGGAGGAGGAGGATAATGAGGGTGCCCATTATCATGAACATGACTGGTGATGCTGCTGGTGCTGGTGCTGCTGCTGCTGATGATGATGATGATGAGGATGATGATGAGGAGGATGATGATGATGATGATGGGGAGGAGGAGGATAATGAGGATGTCCATTATCATGAACATGACTGGTGATGCTGCTGGTGCTGCTGGTGCTGCTGCTGCTGATGATGATGATGATGAGGATGAGGAGGGTTATGAGGATGCGCATTATCATGAACATGACTGATGATGATGCTGACGGTGCTGCTGCTGCTGATGATGATGATGATGATGACGGCTGAAGGAACCCATAGCTATATGATACATACCATCTAGATGTCAAAAAACGGAGAATCAGAACATGGCAACGTTTGGAGGTGAGTTATGCTATACGCATATATCAGATTACACATGCACAATCACACGCATAATTATGATAAACACATAAGCTATTAGATGGCAGTGCCATACCACCCTATGGATCGCCAAGCTGCGCTTTGGTTTTTTCTCGTCATCCTTGAGGTTTCAGAAAATGATTAATGACTACTAGACTGGTCACACAGGACAAGGGATCTGGATCACCCCCCCCATGACATGTAGTCATGCGACGACTTTACGCGAGTTTTCTATCAGAATCCCTTATAATTTTTCTGCAGTTGACTTACATGTGTGCTGATTCCTTGACGTTTCCCACTTCTACTTTGCATTTCATTGCTTCTGTGGGAACATACCACTCAGAATTCCAAATTAGCAGACCTGTTTCAAAGTCAATGCCAACCATGATGATCTGATGAAAACCTGATGGAAATCCGGAACTTGGTTGATAGTTGATTCACCCATCTGTGTGCCTTCTTTTTCTTCTTCTTCTTGGCATCCTTTGCTGCCTTTTTCTCCTGTTTTGCTGCCTCTTTCGCCTCCTTTTTCGCTGACTTTTCAGCCTGCTTCTTTTCCTTGGCACGCCATCAGCCAAAAAAAGTGAGTCCCTGGGAGAAGCCCCGGTCTGTTGCCAGCATGATTTCTTTGAACACAGTGAAAAACACAAAAAACTTGAACATATCTAAACAATACCGAGCTAATGGGAAAATCACAAATTATAATTCTTAGCGACTTGACGTCCTGACCATCTGGTTCTCCGGTACCATCCGGTACCACTATGTTGATCCACACCAATAGAAGCCTAACCAATAATGTAAGGGATATTCAAACTTGGAAGAAACATCCCAGAGTCCCCACATATCAGGACGAATAGAAAATGCCAAGTCAAAAACACTGGTTGCTGGTTTCAGACCACCCCAACAAATCGAAACACTCTACCAAATCACTTCAGCAAAAGTCAATTTGGAGCTTCCCAGCTAGGAACATCAAAACATAACCAATATGAGAGAAACCCCGCAATGATTTTCGTGAAGAGCTGGTTGGTATCTATACCACCCAACTACCCAAGTTTGACAGAGAACGATAGCTGAACCATGGTTCTCAACATGTTTCTTAACGCATCAAAGCCTTTCAGGTTGATCACCAACCCTCCAGTCGAAGGCCCGGACCTCCTTTCCAGCTTGATCTGTTTGATCACCTGGCTCGTCCTGAGATCGACATAAATAAAAGCGCCCAGAAGAGATTGCAAAATTGGGTATCGCAAAATGGCAACTTTTATACTTGGTAAAACCAGGAGATTAGGGGGGTACCCCATTTTTAGGCAAACTCTTCTGATTAGAAGTCGAAATCTATGTGAATGAGTGGTTGAGCCAAAGTGATGTGGTGTCATAAGTGTGAAAGAAGTAGTTTGATCAGCGAGGACCATCAGGCTAACCTATCCATATTCGCACGTTTTGGTGGCGCAAATGGAATTGGATCACCTCAACTTCTGTGCGCCTGTGTATCAAATGACTGATCTATGATCTACATTGCTAATTACTTCTCTATCCAACTACCTATTGTATCCATCTATCTGTCGTCTCTATGTCTGTATATATATATGGAAACATGGGAGCATCATGGAGCATCTATTCCCCTCATGAATCGTTGCTGGCAGTTCAGTCTTCATTAAGTCTACTCCCTAAGAATCCTGCGACAATATGGGGCAACCAGGGGCACCAATCAACCAATAGTTTGCCGGGATCCCAAATCATCAGGGGACCAAAGTTAAAGAGGTTTCTCTGACAATAGGCATCCAAAAATTCCATGGTCTATCATCATGATTCCTATTGAAATTGTCTTTTTTCTGGGGTGCTAAATGATGCTAAATCCTATTCATCCCGCTTTCTATTCCACTAGGAATCTCCATGAAAATCACACGAACCAGCATTCAACCCGGAATCCGCCGCGGGGACTGGTTCCCAAGGCACAATCATCGACAGCAAGCGATCCACCACCAACTCTTCTAGGGGTGTATCATCTGAAGGCGCAGCTCCGTCTGCCTCCATGCGCCCCGGAGAACATCAAATATTGTAATGGCTATGGAAAACTTACAATCAATGGGTATGGGATGGTATGGGTCAATATGAAAAACCTGCGCAACCACGGCGAAAAAAGTCGAGCAATTCTAGCTTGAACCATGCATGTTCAGGGGTGCCCAATTTTGACACATATCAATATTAATGCAATAAGTTGAAAGAAGTGTAAAGCAACTATGTACAAATCTTCTTTAAAAACGCACGAATATGAAAGCATGTCGTAAGACATTTTTAGTACTAAAAAGATCTAACAAATGCAGTTCGACATCAGGCAGTGCTGCAATAAGTCACCCGGCAGCAGTCATGTTGAATTCAAATGGACGATGCTGCCCAGTCCGCGATGTGGCTGAAGGGCTAGTTTAAACAATCTGGTCAGCCCTGAATGGTCTGCCAGCAAAACAGCGACGAGATAAAAAAGCGTCACAAGCGAACGCCTCACCCCCAATGCTAGACTAGACGATATCATACAAAACCCCATTTAACCGATCTACCACAGGGGTCACATTGACAACCATACTTTTCATAACAAAATGCAGGTGCAAAAACATATTGGATACTTTATGAAATAAACCATTCGGGGATGATTCCCTTTCCTATAAAACCATATCTAACCATCATTCCAGTGACATCGCGGCAAGGTCGTTCAAAGTTACCCAGATCCTCATTCATTATATCCCCACCGTATCCTTATTATACATCATTATACTACCGGTTGAGTCACGATATTTGATGGTTAGATAAACATTAAAAACATTAAAGCACCTCATACAGCACCAACTTGTCCATGATCCGCCAGCAGCGCAGCTTTTTGCAGCATCCAAGAATCCAAGTGGACAAAACGCAGATCACCACAGGGATTTGGATTGGGAACCAACCTCCGGATCGTGACGCAACTCAATTGTGCATGGAACATGTTATGCATAAGGTACAGTACTTGTGGATACTTGTAGGACGTTGACAAAACTTCGCAAGGGATCCTGGAGGTTGTAGATCGACTGCATTTTCTGTGACTTCTGGCGCTATGAGCCCAGGACATCCAAGGGCATCACAGACATGCTCCATGAGAATTACGGCCTTCCGCCAAGATTTCGCAAAGCAAAGTCGGAAGTTTCTGTGTCATGCGCCAAGCAAGGGGCTTCGCTCCCTGTTGAGTCGAGTTTCTGGCATTGGACATGTCAGTGGGTTTATGGGAACATCATGGAACACCTACAGGAAAACATTTTTCTTCCCTTTTTGCCGATGAGGAATGTGATGCACAGGATCATCACTCCCCAAATCAGCACTTCAATGTTACCTTTTCCGTTGGTTGAGTCACGGTATTTGATGGTTAGATAAACATTAAAAACATTAAAGCACCTCATACAGCACCAACTTGTCCATGATCCGCCAGCAGCGCAGCTTTTTGCAACATCCAAGTGGACAAAACGCAGATCACCACAGGGATTTGGATTGGGAACCAACCTCCGGATCGTGACGCAACTCAATTGTGCATGGAACATGTTATGCATAAAGTACTTGTGGATACTTGTAGGACGTTGACAAAACTTCGCAAGGGATCCTGGAGGTTGTAGATCGACTGCATTTTCTGCCTTCTGGCGCTATGAGCCCAGGACATCCAAGGGCATCACAGACATGCTCCATGAGAATCACGGCCTTCTGCCAAGATTTCGCAAAGCATAGTCGGAAGTTTCTGTGTCATGCGCCAAGCAAGGGGCTCCGCTCCCTGTTGAGTCGAGTTTCTGGTATTGGACATGTCAGTGGGTTTATGGGAACATCATGGAACACCTACAGGAAGGCATTTTTCTTCCCTTTTTGCCGATGAGGAATGTGATGCACAGGATCATCACTCCCCAAATCAGCACTTCAATGTTACCTTTTCCGTTGGTTGAGTCACGGTATTTGATGGTTAGATAAACATTAAAAACATTAAAGCACCTCATACAGCACCAACTTGTCCATGATCCGCCAGCAGCGCAGCTTTTTGCAACATCCAAGTGGACGAAGCGCAGATCACCACGGGGACTTGGATTGGGAACCCACCTCCAGATCGTGACACAACTCAATTGTGTATGGAACATGTTATGCATAAAGTACTTGTGGATACTTGTAGGACGTTGACAAAACTTCGCAAGGGATCCTGGAGGTTGTAGATCGATTGCATTTTGTGTGATTTCTGGCGCGTGCAGTCCAGGACATCTAAGGGCATCACAGACATGCTTCATGAGAATTACGGCCTTCCGCCAAGATTTCGCAAAGCATAGTCGGAAGTTTCTGTGTCATGCGCCAAGCAAGGGGCTCCGCTCCCTGTTGAGTCGAGTTTCTGGCATTGGACATGTCAGTGGGTTTATGGGAACATCATGGAACACCTACAGGAAGGCATTTTTCTTCCCTTTTTGCCGATGAGGAATGTGATGCACAGGATCATCACTCCGCAAATCAACAAGTGTCGCAAGGTTAGCGTTGCAGTAAGCCAAGATGGCGTCTTTTGGTGGTGCGACACAGTACATTACATTACATTACAATAGATTAAATTAGATTTGATGCGATTAGATTAGATTAGATTAGATTGCATTAAAATAAATTAATTACATACATACATTGCATTGCATTGCATTGCATTGCGTTACATTACATTACATTACATGACATTCAATCAATCAATCAACCGTTCCTTCATTCATACAAACCTGCATACCTACATACCTACCAACCTACATACCTACATCCCTGCATACCCACATACCTACCTACCTACCGACCTACCGACCTACCGACCTACCGACCTACCAACCTACCGACATACATACACACAAACAGACATACATACATACATACCTACATTACATTACATTACATTCCATTATATATAATCATGCAAAACAAACCGAAACAAAACATAACATAAAATAAGAAACAATACATGCATACGATACATTCGATACATACGAAACATACAAACATACATACATACATTACATTACACTACATTACGTTACATTACATTAAATTACATTACATTACGTTACATACATACATACATACATAACATACATAACAGACATGACATACATAACATACATCACATACATAACATACAAAGCATACATACATACATACATACATAAGTTTTAAAAAATACATTACATTAAATTACATTACATTACATTGCATTACATGACATCACATTACATTACATACAAAACATACAAAACATACATACATACATACGTACATACATACATACTTACATACATACAAACATACATTACATACCATACCAAACCATACCATACCATACATACCATACAATACAATACAATCCAATCCAATACTCATACATACATACATATATACATACATACATACATACATACATACATACATACATACATTACGTACATACATACATACATACATACAGACGTACATGCATACATACATACATACATACATACATACATATATACACATATCCATCCATCCATCCATCCATCGATCCATACATACATACAAACATTACATCCATTACATACATTACATTTCTTTATTTATTTATACATACATACGTACGATACATACGATCCATACAAACGTTACAAAACAAAAAAAACATTACATACATTACACACATGACATACATGACATACATGAAATACATTACATACATTACATACATGAACATACATCATGCATATACATAATGACATACATACCCACATTCACACATACATACATACGAACATAACATTACATTACATTACGTTACGTTACATTACATTACAAACATACAGACACGCACACATACATACATACATACATACAAACTGATATACATACATACATACATAGATAGATACATAGATACATAGGTACAAAGATGCATAGATACAAAGATACATAGATCCAAAGATACATAAGTACATACATACATACATGCATGCATACATACATACATACATGCATACATGCATACATACATACATACATACATACATACACACATATATACATATATACATATATGCATCCATCCATCCATCCATCCATACATAATACATACATACATACATACAGACACACATACATACATACATGCATACATTACATCTCATTACATTACATTACACTACACTACACTACATTTCATTCATTCATTCATACATACATGCATACATTACATTACATTACATTACATTACCTTACATTACATTACACTACACTACACTACACTACATTTCATTCATTCATTCATACATACATACGCACACACATACATACATACATACCATTACATTTCATTACAGTACAGTACATTACATCACATACATACATACATACATACATACATCACATACATTACATACATTACATACCGTGCATATGTAACATACATTGCATACATTCCATACATTACATACATTGCAAAGGTTACAAACATTACATGCTTTACATGCTTTACATGCATTACATACATTACATACATTACAGACATTTTATTACATGACATGGCATGACATGACATGACATTACATACACACATATATAAATAACAGTCATTTGATAATGATGAGAAACATGCAAGCAAATGTGAGCTCACATGATGATTGGCCATGTTGCGCTAGTACCACACTCGACTGCGTCATGCTGCGTAACGACCCAGGGTTCAAATGCTCCCACAGGCAAGACATCTGCAAGTTCAGTGAGTTCGCTTGGGAGCAGAGACTCAATTAACGGATGCTTTCGAAACAAAAACTATAGATATTGGGTGGGCAAAAAAAACCCAACATAGGATGTTCAACTGTCGCACTGAAAGTGGACACAAATCGAAAAATCCGAAAACACACATTCATGTTCATCTTACCTCTGCAATGCATGATGGCAAAACTCAGTTCTATCAATGGCTAAAACTGGTATATATACTAGATGTATGTGTGCCTACATGCCTTTCATATATTCTGTTGCACCA